CATGTTCAAATAGACGGGCATGGCCGTCCTTCCCTGCCTGTGGGCATTCCGGGCACAGGTGGTGGGCTCTGGGTCCTGCCCAGATAAAGGAGTCGCCTTTTGCCATATCGGGGAAGGCCCAGCTCTGTGGGAGTACTCAGGAGGGGTGCAGCCTCAGCCGCTTTCCCTAAGGCTCCTCAGGACACCTCTCTGCTGCCCATGGAGCCATGGGCTGGGGTCAGGCCCAGCCTGCTGCCATCACGCTGGACCCCAGCAGGCTGCCCTCAGGGGTGACCCTCCTGGAGGGGCCTCCTGGCAACAGCAAGATGGGGACCAGGTGGGGACAAGGGGTCACCTGGGCACCCTTAGATTCCACATCCAGCACCAGGTGTTGGGGGTCCATCCAGAACTCCCAGCCACCCACTGAGCCTCCGAGCTGGAGGCCTGCACCCATGAGTCCCATGTGCTGGGGCCTCTGTGCCCATGGAGCCAGCTGGGTTTTTTCACAGGTCATAAAGTGCCAGAGCCCAGGAGGGCGTCAGTGGCAACTCCCAGGAGCGTAGATAAGAGGAGGCCAAGAGGTGGTGGTGCCCAAGGTCACCCAGACTGGAGGACCCTGAACCAGTATTGTCCCTGCCTGGGCCCCCTGCAGTCCATCCCAACGTGGGTTTGGGTGCCTATGTCTCTTTTAAATCACTCTTTTTTTTTTTTGGAGTTGGAGTTTCACTCTTATTGCCCAGGATGGAGTGCAGTGGTGCAATCTCAGCTCGCTGCAACTTGAGCCTCCCGGGTTCAAGTGATTCTCCTGTCTCAGGCTCCCAAGTAGCTAGGATTACAGGCGCACGTAACCACCCCCAGCTAATTTTTGTATTTTTTTTTTTTTTTTTTTGAGACGGAGTTTCACTCTTGTTACCCAGGCTGGAGTGCAATGGCGCGATCTCGGCTCACCGCAACCTCCGCCTCCTGGGTTCAGGCAATTCTCCTGCCTCAGCCTCCTGAGTAGCTGGGATTATAGGCACGCGCCACCATGCCCAGCTAATTTTTTGTATTTTTAGTAGAGACGGGGTTTCACCATGTTGACCAGGTTGGTCTCGATCTCTCGACCTTGTGATCCACCCGCCTCGGCCTCCCAAAGTGCTGGGATTACAGGCTTGAGCCACCGCGCCCGGCCAATTTTTGTATTTTTAGTAGAGATGGGGTTTCATCATATTGGTCAGGTTGGTCTCGAACTCTTAACCTCAGGTGATCTTCCTGCCTTGGCCTCCCAATTTTTTTTGAGATAGAGTCTTGCTCTGTTGCCAGGCTAAAACGCAGTGGCGCAATCTCGGCTCACTGCAACCTCTGCCTCCTGGGTTCAAGTGATTCTCCTGTCTCAGCCTCCCAAGTAGCTGGGACTACAGGCGCACGCCACCACGCCTAATTTTTGTTTTTTGTTTTTTTTTGTTTTTTTTTTTTTTCAGTAGAGAGGGGGTTTCGCCATGTTGGCCAGGATGGTCTCGATCTCTCGACCTCGTGATCTGCCCATCTTGGCCTCCCAAAGTGATGAGATTATAGGCGTAAGTCACTGTGTCCGGCCTAAATCACATTTTTTGAAGGGTTGTGGGAGGCAGAATTCTGATCTGATCAGAACCCAGCTGCCCCCAGTCTCTGTTCCTTCTTACCCCAAACAGTAATAGGCGAGTTCTCCCTGCCAGGTGCAATGCAGGGTGGGTATGAGGGTTGCAGCCACCCCCTCCTGTGGGCACCAGCCCTCCTGTGGGCACCAGCCTCCTCAGGGTCTGACTTGGGTGTCATGGTGGGGTCGCTATGTGGAGGGTCCCAGCCCCCAGGTCCCATCCCTTGGCCTCTGCCCGGGAGAAGGCCCTGGCCTACTCAGAGACGAAGCCAGATACATTGATGTGAACCTGCCTCCAGCCAGCCTAAGCAATAAGGAAATTATTGGCTCCCTCACTGAAACCGCTAGGACCTTCCTAGGCGGCAGGCACAGATTTCGGGGGATCATCTCTGCCCCCCTCAGCCCTGCTTTTCCCAGCCTGGGCCTCCCTGCATCACAGGCCCAGCAGCCCGGGTAGAGAGTGACTTTCCAGCCATCACAGCAGGAGCCCCTGGCCCCGCGTCCTCAGGTCCAGCTTGGTCACAGGTCATCACCAGTTGCTCTGCTGGGCTGACTGGCCAGGCCGGGGGCATGCACTCACCCTGGGGAGCCCTGGGAGACTCAGTTGCCCTCACCAGAGGGAGGGGCGTGACCTGGGGGCAGCAGGAGCAATCCAGCTCCCTCCACCTCAATGCAGCTGTGCCAACCCTGGGTCTCTAGGGCTGGGGCAGTTTCTGGGCACAGGCCAGAGACACAGTGAACACAGTAGTAGTGCGAGGAGATAAGTGCTTGGGAGAAATAGGTAAAGGGGTCAGTGTGCCAGAGCGGGGCAAGGGCTGCGCTCACGGAGAAGGTGACCTTTAAGCAGAGCCCTGGAAGTGAGGGACTGCGCCAAGGGGACACCGGGACAGAGTGGAGCAGGAAGAGGCAACAGCAAGTGCCAAGGCCGGGTCATAGCTGGGGTGGGTGGGTGAGCTGTGGGGGCTCACTGGAAGGGCCCAGTGGGCCCAAAGGAGGGACCTGGCATCCAGCTGGAGTAAACTCGGCCTTTGTTCCTGCAGCCAGGATCAGATCCACTGCTTGTGGGGCCAAGGGACAGGCCGGACCAACCCCACCTCCAGCAGTGCCTCTGCCCCTGCTGGGTCCGGAGGCTTCAGCCGTTACCCCGCAGTCCCTCGGTGGCTTCTGCAGAGCGATGGCCCAGAGCTGGTGCCATGATGGAGACTGGGGCAGGCAGGGAGGGCTTCCCTGAGGTGGTGGTGCTCGGGTTAGCACTGAAGGGTGGGCAGGAGTTGCCAGGAGAGGGGAGAGACCATGGCTCAGGGCCCAGAAAGCTGGTGATGCCCCTTTGGAGCCTCGTCTCCCCTGGAGCCCTTGTGTTTGATTTCTTGCTTCTGGAGCGTGAGCCCCAAGGGCAGCAGTTGCCCTGTCCCCACAGTGGTCCCCTCACTGGGCCCACCTCAAACCGTCACAGGCTGGGCTGCAGGGTCCCCAGAGGCCCACATTGCAGTCTGGGAAAGCCTCGTGCATCGGAAGTGGGTGGGTTATGACGTGAGAAGCGTGGGGTGCAGGGAATCGGGGTTTCCTTGAGTGCCTGCCTCGTCTGTACTGTAGAGCCGTGTTTTACAGCTGTGGGACCCGCTCTGAAAGGAAACGGAGGCTCCTGGAGGTGGAGTAGCCTCTTGCAGCCACTCTGCAGCCTCCCAAGTTGGCAAAACATAGGCTTCAGGTCATAGGCCACCCCCAGAGTGGGTTGCGAGGATCGGGGGCAGCCGTGTGGCGTGGTGGCTGGCATGCCAGGCCGGGGAGGTCTGTGAGACCGTGGTGTCGCTGGGGCAGGCAGGCTTTTGCAGTCCGTGTTGTCCCTCTGAGTGGGCTGTGTGTGTGCAGCGTGAGAAAACGAGGTGACGGCAGACAGAGCCTATAAATTAGGGCTCAGGGGTGGTTTTATTTCTGGGTTTTTTTGTGTGTGGTAAAATGCGTAAGATAAAATTTGCCGTTTTAACCATTTTTAAATGTACGCTCCAGAAGCACCGTTATTTCCAAAACTTGTTCATCCCGCCGACAGAAACTCTGCACCCGCGAAGTCATAAGTGCCCATTCCGCAGTCCGCGGAGCCCCGCCGTGCCTCTGTCTCTGTGAACTGGCCTGTTCCAGGTGCTGTGTAGAAGTGGAGTCACTTGGTGTCCTTGTCCGTCTGGCCGGTTCCCACAGCGTCGTGTTTTTATCCACACTGCAGCGCTTATCCAAATGTCCTTCCTTTTCGTGGCTAGATACTATTCCATTGCATGGACAGAGCACATTTTGCTTACCCATTCACTTGTCAAGGTTTTAAAAAATATAAATAGGCCGGGCGTGGTGGCTCATGCCTGTAATCCCAACACTTTGGGAGGCTGAGAAGGGTGGATCACGAGGTCAGGAGTTCAAGACCAACCTGGCCAACCAACATGGTGAAACTCCGTCTCTACTAAAAATACAAAAATTAGTGGGGCATGGTGGCAGGTGCCTGTAATCCTAGTTACTCAGGAGGCTCAGGCAGGAGAATCGTTTGAACCAGGGAGGAGGAGGTTGCAGTGAGCCAAGATCACACCATCACACTCTAGCCTGGGCAACAGGGCGAATCTCCGTCTCAAAAAAAAAAAAAATTAAATAATGGGGCTGGGTGCTGTGGTTCACACCTGTAATTCCAGCACTTTTAGTGGGCAAGGCAGATGGATCACGAGGTGAAGAGATCAAGACCCTCCTGGCCAACATAGTGAAACCCTACCTCAACTAAAAATAATACAAAAATTAGCCGGGCATGATGGCACACACTTGTAGTCCCAGCTACTCAGAAGGCTGAGGCAGGAGAATCACTTGAACCCAAAAGGTGGAGGTTGCAGTGAGCCGAGATCACGCCACTGCACTCCAGCATGGCAACAGAGACTGTCTCAAAAAATATATATGTATATTATGTATACACATATATACTATATATACACACAGGCCCATATATATATGTATAAGTATATACTGTATATGCATGTATCTTATATATGCATGTATCTTATATATGCTCATGTACTACATACATATATGTGTATATATATACATACACATATACCTATAACGGGTTGTTGTAGTGGCTCATGCTTGTCATCCTAGCACTTTGAGAGGTCAAAGTGGGAGGATGGCTTGAGCCTTGGGATTTCAAGACCACCCTGGGCAACATAGTCAGGCCTCACTTCTACATAAAAATCCTTAAAAATGAGCTGAGCGTCCTGGTGCATGCTGGTGGGGAGGATCGCTTCAGCGCAGGAGGCAACAGTTAGTTGCAGAGAGCCCTAATGGCCCTGCTGCACTCCAGCCTGGGCAACAGAGCGAGACCCTGTCTAAAAAAAAAAAAAGTAAACCACGTAAGTCAGTCCGCCATATTTTAAAACCTGTTTATGTAATGGTACAGATTTCCAGTTTCTTCTAACAGCTTGAAATGCGTGGCCATGCGAGGTCCGAGCACCTGGTGCCTTACGGGTCTCACCCACCCAGCCACTTCCTTGGTGAGACAGGGGTGGTATCTGAGTGCAGGAGTTGGGGTTCCCTGGAGCTAGGGCCTGTTGATCCCCAGCCAGGCAACCAGGGGCACAGCCCCGAGGCAGAGGTGTTGGTAGCTGAAGAGTCGGGGCCCCATGCTGGGCATCTGACCTGGTGGAGGCTCCAGGTGCTCCCCAAAGCAGCACGTGAGTCTCAGCTCACACCTGGGGAGGGCAAGTCCATCTTCTTGGGAAAACCTGATGGGGAGGCGGGCGATGGAATGATGGGATGTCACCTCTGGCCCTGTGCAGGGTGTGGCTCTGCAGCCAGCCTTGGGCCTGGTGCCTGTGAATGCAGTGACCACTGGCTTGCTGTGTGCCAGGCACGATGCCCACTGAGGAGCCGTCCCTCCTTCCAGAGGAGGAATCCAAAGCCCTCCCAGGTCAAGCAAGTGGGCTGTGAGGGTGGTGTCGGTACATGAGGTCACACCTGCAAGGTGGGTGAAGGATGGGACTCTCGCAGCTCATGGGAACGGGGGCGACCAGCCAGTATGGATGTCATCGCTGTCCCCACTGGAGGCTCCTGGACCTCAGATGCTGGGGGTTCTCCAGTAACAGGGTCTGTGCTGGTGGGACGGGAGGCTCTCACAACCACTCTGGGCCAGGCAGCAGGCTGGGGTTGGAGGCGCGAGTGCCTTCTTCCTATACACAGTGGAGAAAGGTGCTAGCCTGAGGTGTCAGCGTGGAACCAGGCCTTGAAGGCTGGCTGACATCTGCTCAGCTGGAAGTGTCATAGCAGGCAGACTGCAGAGCCCTAGCACAGGATCGTGGCGCGGGGCTGGGGGACTGGAGGTCACCAGACTCAGAGTGCCAGGGCCGTGGGACGGGGGAGTGAGGATTCCGCCTGGCTTTCACTGGCGGTGGGGTGTGGGGCGCCTGGGCGCTGGAGAACAGCCAGCTGGTCTGGTTCCTGGGTAGAGGACAGTGGGCACCCCCATTCCCGCAGTTCACCCTCCCCGTTATTCATGAGGCTCAGTAAGGCACATCTGTCCCCGCAGGAGGTCTGGCACCTGGGTTGCAGTCATTACTTTGTCTCCAGGCTAGCACTCAGTAGGTACACATTAAAGATACTGGGTAGTGTGTTCACTCCAGACTGGACGCGGGCAGGCAGTGGGGGTCTTGGGGACAGACAGCGCGGGCCGGGACTCCGGGGGATGCAGCCAGTGAGGGTCAGCCGTGGGCGGGCTTTGAGCAGAGCCTGGAGCTGCCCTGCGGGAGGATGGAGTGGTGGAGCTAGGCTGCCCGGAGGACACGACGCCGGGCCCAGGGGACCTGCAGCAGCCGAGGGGGAGGGGTACACTGCGCCGCCGTAGCCTCCCATCCCCCTCTGCCCTGCCCGGCTGCTAAATAGGCAGCCTGGACCCGCCTTCGGGCAGCCGGGAGGCCAGCAATTGGTTGGGGCGCTAGAGCCGCTCGGTCTCCATGGGGACGCTCTGGAGGCGCGCGTGCCCAGTGCCCAGTGCCCAGCGCCGGGGACTAAATCTTCATAATCTGCCGGCTGGGAGGGTGGGGGTGGGGTCTGTCATGACCCTGGCCTGGGGGAAGGAGCAGCAGGGCTTGCTGTGACCGCCCCTCCCCCACCCACGCTGAGTGCAGGTGTGGAGCCGACGGGCACCTGTGCACCCCCGGGACCCTCGCGGGTGCTCACCCGACAGTGACCCTGGGAGTTCCCGTGCAGCCTCAGCCTCTGCCGTCTCAGCTGAGCAGGCAGGGGGTCGGGGCCGGGTGGGCAGAGAGGCCTGGAATGTATCTGGAACTGTCTAGTCCTCCTGGTTAAAGTTTCCTGTTTGGCGCTCGCAGGCCGGCAGTGCCGCACTCTTCGCGGTAGGGGGCGCCCTCGTAGTGCTTTGCCGGGACCGCTCACCCCCAGAGAGCAGGCAAGCAAGCCCTGTGCAGCCCCGGTTTGGCATGTCCCAGGCCATGGGGCCTGCACATGGATCCGGTGACCACTGTGCCTAGGCTGCCAAGGCTGAGCTGGGTTGGGCTTGCAGGAGGGAGGGGATGGCTGGAGGCCACAACAGAGCCATCCTCCTGCCTCAGGCAGAGGAAGGAGACATTTGAGGGCCCACTGTGGAGAGGGGCTCCGAGAACGTGAAGCTGCAAGGCAGTGCCTGGCAGCAGAGCAGGGTGGGTGGGAGATGTGGTCCTGGGAGCTGGGGAGAAGGGAGAGCCTGGCTAGGCCTCACTCCCAAACTCTTGGAGCCGAGTCTCCCCTAAGCCTGGACATAGCACTTGTGAGCTCAGGGTGCAGGGAGACCTGCCATGCCTTGCACAGCCCTGCCTGGCCCCTCCGCTCCTGATGGCCCCGCTATTCTGGCAGAGGGGACCCTGGGGCTGCCTCAGCTAGGGTTGTGGGCTGGCACCTCTTGGAGCTTCCGAGGTGGGGTAGCAGCACTCACCCCCCGACCCAGGGACACTCATGAGGAAGACACAGGGCAGGATACTCCCAGGTGGGTTCCGTGGTCACAGTGCCCGGGATGGGGCCTCACACCCGGGCCTCTCGTTCCAGATGACTCCTCCTCCGAGAGTGGCAGTGGCAATGGCTCCTCCACCCTGAACCCATCCACGTCGAGCAGCACGCAGGGCGACCCTGCCTTCCCCGAGATGAATGGCAATGGTGCCGTGGCCCCCATGGACTTCACCACGGCAGCCGAGGACCAGCCCATCAACCTGTGTGACAAGCTCCCACCAGCCACGGCGCTCGGCACACCCTCCTACCCCTCCGACGGCTGCAGCGCTGACGGGCTGCGGAGCCGCGTCAAGTACGGGGTGAAGACCACCCCTGAGGTGTGTGGGACTGGGAGCTGAGTCCATTTCTTTCTGTTAAGGGCTGTTGTGAGGTGGGAATGAAATTGTCTATGCCCAGAGCTTAGCTGGAGCCAGCCCGTGTATGTTACACCAAGCTAGGGTGGTGGCTGTGGCTGGTACGTAGTTCGGTTCCTGTAGAGGCTTTGGAATAGGAGATGGCTTGGAGTGTGCCCTCAAGCCAGGCCCCTTTCTCCGGGCCCACTTTCCCATCTGTGAAGTGGAGCTGATGGGCCCTGCCTTGGTTGAGGTGGTAGATGGATATGCATCCCCACAACCTGGCCCCCTCCCCCAGAACAGCATCTGCTGTGGGCAACAGTGAGGTACAAGGCCTCCCCATCTTATAGGTCGTACAAAAAAAGGGCGAGGGCCCAGGGATATGGGCAGCAGAACTCCTCCTTTGACCAGGCTGATGGAAGGTGGGAAGGATGAGCAGGGCAGCTGCCCTCACCAGTGGGCACCCCCTGCTTCCTGGGGCCCGCCCTCATGCTTCCACAAGCTGCCTCCGGGCCGCTAAAGTTTGCTGCAGTAGCGTCTCTTCTCCAACCTGCTCCTGCGGGTAGAGGCACCTTCCTGGAGCTCACACCCCTGGACAGGCTCTTCTCCCTCCCTGGGCCTGTTTCCTCTGCTGCAGGGAGGGTGGAGTAGTTTCTAGCGAGTTGCCTGCCTCAGTTGGTGCGTCGTAGGGAAGTTCTATACCGTGGGCTCAGTGCTGAGTTGTTGCTGTGTGTGTAGCGCAGGTGGCTGGGAGCAGGTTCTGGCCAGAGCAGGCTTTGCCTGGATCCAAGGGGCAGGCATGGCTGCTCTCCCATAGAGGGGAGAGTTTTGCTCAGCAGTCATTGCCACTGTGGCCACAAGGTACATGGGGCGGGGGGGGGGTGGGGTGTGAGGAAGTGAGATGGGAGCAGGAAGGCCACCAGCAGCTCCCTAGTTTCCCCCATCTGCCTGCCCTGGGAATCCTGCCGCTATCCAAGTCTGTATGTGGACAAAGAGGCACCAGGCCACCGACCCTAGGGGACTGATCCCTGCAGGTTTGGTTACTGGGAGAGAGGCCTGGTGGCGGGGGGTTGCTATGCTGTGGGGCCAGGAGCCAGGCGGTACACAGCTGCCTGAATTTACTCCTCAGAGAGTGCTGTTCCCCTCATGGCTGTGCCACGGCCACGCTGCCACATCATAGGGTCTGACCGCAGCCACCTGCTCTCTGAGCCTGTCTTACCTGCTAGATGCCAACCTCCCTGAGGGCAGGAACAGTGTCCCCAGGCTACTGCCAGTCAGGATCTGAATGAGTAGTTAGGACATACTGAAAGCACAAACTTCCCAAAAGTCAGCCGTGGTCCTCAGCTGTCCCGGGGCAGGAGACAGGTGATATGGGAGCTGAACCCTGAAGGATGAGATGGCGGAGGCCTGGAGGAGAGGACGGAGCTGCCTCCAGGGAGAGATGGGCGAGGGTCTTGTCCAGGGAGGAGCTTGTGGTGGAAGCAGAGGGCCAGAGCCCTTCTCTGCTGGAGGACAGGTGACTGCCGGGGCAGGCTGGGTCTGGTTCCCACTCCCCTTTCTACCCACATACTCTCAAGGGGCCACTGTGCTGTCCTGGTTGGGGGCGGACAGGAGAAGCCCAGCCCAGAAGCTGCAGGAACACAACCTGCCTAATGGACCTGTCGCCTTGGCTGGCTGCCTCGCCCAGCCACGTTCCTCCTCCCGACAGACAGCATGCTCACTGCTTTGGTGACAGCTCAGTTGTCAACTTGGGGTTGCAGCCCCTTGGGGATCAGGGAGGAAAACCCCAAAGGTAAAAACAGATCTTGGCACGAGAGAAGGCTGGCGGGAGGCACGAGTCCTTTCCATGTCTGCCCTTCCCTTGCACACGTGGCAGGTCCCGGTGTGGGCCGCCGCTGAGGTGACAGCCTCTTACGCGTTTGGCACCCCCCAGGAGCCTGGCCTCTGCATACCTACTGTTACAGTCGGTCCTCCCTGCGGCAGCCCAGGGAGGGAGGTGGCAGCCTTGCTGTCCCCATTCCACAGATGAAGGGGGCAGAAGAGAGGAGTGCCTTGCTCCGGGCCTTGCAGCTGTGGCTGTCGGGCAGCGAGGTGTGCATGCCGCCCTGGTCCCCAAGCTCCCTGCTCATGGGAGACTCAGCAAGGGCACGAGCAGCGGCCCAACCCTCTGCTTCTTGCCCTCTTTTTAGTCCCCCCCTTACAGCTCTGGGAGCTACGATTCCATCAAGACCGAGGTCAGCGGCTGCCCCGAGGACCTGACAGTGGGCCGGGCTCCCACGGCAGATGACGACGACGATGACCATGATGACCATGAGGACAATGACAAGATGAACGACTCTGAAGGCATGGACCCTGAGCGCCTTAAGGCCTTCAACGTGAGCACCGGCTGGAAACAGGTGGGGTGGGGTGGGGTGGGGGCAAGGCCAGGGCCAGCCCGTCCCACGGCCCATGTCTCTGTCCCCACAGATGTTTGTGCGTCTCTTTGTGGACGAGAACCTGGACCGCATGGTGCCCATCTCCAAGCAGCCCAAGGAGAAGATCCAGGCCATCATTGAGTCGTGCAGCCGGCAGTTCCCCGAGTTCCAAGAGCGAGCCCGCAAGCGCATCCGCACGTACCTCAAGTCCTGCCGCCGCATGAAGAAGAACGGCATGGAGATGGTGAGTCCCTCTGCACCACCCCTGACCTCCCGCCACACTCCCAGGAGCCTTGGAAGCAAGTACCATCATCCCTGGTTTGCAAATGATGGGGGAACAGGGGCCCGGAAAGGTCACACAGCTCCCACGGACTGAGGTGCTGGCGCCCAAACCACCCCCCCCCCCGGTGCCACTCAGCCCTGGGGCCACCCCACCCTGTGCCACCCACCCCTGGGGCGGGGTCTCATGCACAAGCCCAGAACCTCCATGAGCCCTGTGCCAGCTCCATCCCCCATATGCCTGCAGACCAGACCCACGCCACCCCACCTGACCTCGGCCATGGCAGAAAACATCCTGGCAGCTGCCTGTGAGAGCGAGACGAGAAAGGCAGCCAAGCGGATGCGCCTGGAGATCTACCAGTCCTCACAGGTACCTGCCGCCACAGCTGCAGCAGGGGCCACCCCCGGGCAGCCAGGGAGAGCAGTCCTCAGACGGGTGTGGCCAGAGGGAGCTGTGATGGGTGCAGTTGGGAGAGGGGCAGAGCCGGGAACAGGAGGGCAAAGACAAGGAGAGGAGGTGGGTGGAGGGCAGGTGTGTTCTCAGAGGTCCTCAGACCTCATGGAAGTGTGGACCGCATCCCAAGACTGGAGGGCGCTGAGCAAGTATACTCACAGGGAGATGAGCAGAGTTGGGGAAAGCCCCTGGGGCGAGACAGGCACAGTCTCACAGGTCAAACCACAGCACTGGATCCCAGGAGTCCTGGGGCCACAGCGTGTATCCACCTGGTGTTCGGGGATGGTAGGTGGGCCTGGCTACCCGTTTCCCCAGCGGCACCCTCTCCCCTCTGCAGGATGAGCCCATAGCCCTGGATAAGCAGCACTCGCGGGACTCCGCGGCCATCACCCACTCCACCTACTCACTGCCAGCCTCCTCCTACTCCCAGGACCCTGTGTACGCCAACGGCGGCCTCAACTACAGTTACCGCGGGTACGGGGCCTTGAGCAGCAACCTGCAGCCCCCTGCGTCCCTCCAAACAGGAAACCACAGTAATGGTGAGTCGCAGAAGGCCTGGACTCTGGCTCCCTGGCCAGCACCCAGCTGGGTCTGCAGAGCACCCTGGGGCAGGGCAGAGGGCAGCAGAGGCCAGTGACGGAAAGGGGCTGCCTCACAGCCTGGGGAGCAGGAGGGGTGGCTCTGGCACCCTCTCACTTCATCGTCTCAGCAGGTCCTTAGATGGGAAGGTGAAGGAGGAGGCTTCAGCTGGTCAAAGCAAAAGCCTCCCACCCCCTTCTCACCGCCAGTGACGCTGGCTCCAACGCTTCCAACGCTTCCTGCCTTCACTACCAGCGCCTCTCACTGGTTCCGCTACCCCAGGGTCCCTGTGGCTGCCGGGTCCCAGCCAAGGGCCTGTTCTTGCCCTGAGTTGAATCTCCACAGCCCATCTCACCTATAGTG